TTACTCATCACTGCAAGGCCTGGGTTGCTATCGTTCCGTAGCAGTTACTAATAGATATTGTCATATTTTAGGTCTTATAACATAATTAGTATAAGAGTTCAACATAAAATAGCTATTACAGAATGAAATCCTACTTTTATTATATTTTTTAAAAAGCCATACACCTCTATAATTTTGTTGTGTTTGGCTACCTGGGATTTAAATTTATTATTTTCCAATTGTCCCAAAGATGCTTTTTCAAGAGGAAACTGGGCTTTCTAGTTTTTCTTTGAAGATGTTTCATTTCTCATCTAAGAAGCTTCTTCAGCTCTTATTGGATGCTGCGGAACGGAAGGATTTATACTCCTTGCAGACAACTGGTCATTTGCATTCTTTTAGAGAATCATTGAGGCCACTTTGAGGCTTATCTGTCACCTGAGTAATGCAAATGGGTGTGCAACCATGACCTGGATAACTGAGAATCTCCATAGACATTTATTTTCCAATTGGTTAAAATAATTTTTACTACTTTAAATTGTTGTCATATATGCATAAGGGCGTGGTTGAATATCCACACTAGTGATATGGGGGAAGTGGCCTTTCTTCTCCATTCTCACTGTAGGTGGTGACCCTGCAGCAGTTTTTGGGGTAACCCATGCCCTCTTGGTGTATAGAAAACAGGAAGCTATTACTGAAGGTTGTAATGAGATGTGGCAAATATTTCTACACATAAAATCACTTCTATTTGTTCTGCCCACTCCACATGGAGAGAATCAACAATGACTTGGGTAGAATCTAGCAGTTTAACCCAGGATTCATTTAAGTTTGTGAAGTCTGAGAAAATGGACAGGGTGATTTGTGGTTTGAGCTCTGCCGCTTGTAGGATTGATTCATGCTCTATCTCAGATACCATCCCAGAGGAATTGGATGTGGGGCAGAAGATTAGATCTTATATCAACTCAGCAAGGGAGTATTTGTTCTACCTTGAAGGGGGCATTATATGCCATCTTCCTGAATGTGGCAAGTCTTGCTATGTTCTGCCTGCTTCAGTCTCCTCTTCTTAGGGCCAATTATTGAGGGAATGGTAAGGTTCCAACTCCAGACTGTTCTAGAGACAACAGATGGTCTGGACCACATTGGTTGCTCTGATGGACAGTCTTTGTTCAGCCTGGTAGAGGGAAATTCATGGTTACTGCCTAACTTGACCTCTGGAATGGCCTTCCCATTATTGACCATTGGTGATGTGTTTACATATCATCTATAGCAGGGGTGTCAAACTCGCGGGGTGGATGCGTCACGCGCTGGCCATGCCCACGCCCGGGTTAGCAAAGGGAGGAGAAGTCATGATACATCACATGACATGAGTTTGACACCCCTGATCTATAGAGTTGGGATTTTCCATGGTTCTGCCACCCGAATGGACGCGGCCACTTTCAGAACTCACAGCTACTAATTGAGAGGTGTGTGGAATCCATGGGAAGGGAGTCTTTGCTGTGCTACAACAGCATGGAATTTGATGAACTGGCTGTGGTTACCCATGCCCTCATCATCTCTCAAATTTTATACTGCAATACTCTACATGGGGCTGTCTTTGAAGACTACTCAGAAGGAGCAATTGGACAGAATGCAGCAGCCTGCCTAGTCATGGGTGAGAGGCACCAGTACTACCTAAGTGCTATGAAAGTGCTATGGTTGCTTCCAGTAGACTTCTGAGTACAATTCCAAGTGCTCGCTTTAACCTATAAGGCCCGTAGGTAACTGCAGGACCGTGTGCTTCAGATAGATCTGACTCATCCAAATTGGGATACCAAGAGTTCTAAGGGAGAGGGCATGAGTGCCCTGCTTCTTATGTTAGGCCCCACTCCCTAGAATAATGTACTGCTAAGGAGCTAAATGGAGCCTCCTTAACAGTCATTCAGAGAGTGGTGAACCCTTATCTCTTCTGCAGGCCTTTTTAGCAGGATGTTTTGGGATGTCTGCTGCATTTGCCATCTTGTTCTGTTTCCCCCCTTCAGTTCTAGTTTGGTGGTGGTTATATTATTTTTGTATTATTTTGATGTTGTCTGGTGTATGGTGGGAGACCCAGAATCCTTCAAATCAGGCAACTGTTTTAAAAAATGAGTGGATGAATGTTGAGTTCAGGTAGTCCTTAACTTACAACCATTT